TATATATATATATATATATATATATATATATATATATATATATATATATATATATATATATATATATAAATAAGGTGACAGATTTATATTTTAAGAAACAAAGGAAATGACCAAGGAACCGTGGATACATAAAGACAAACATAACTAGCGCGCGCGCGCATGCACACACACACACACACACACACACACACACACACACACACACATTCACACATACAGAAAGGAACAAGCTGATGACACTATTTTTAGTTTGTCACCACACACAGTTAGATCTGTTTTGACAACACAAGCGTTTGCTTTCGACACTACAGTAGTTTGGTCACTATGAGTCCCGCACAGTTAAATAAGTGAAGCGCTGGAGGCAGAGAACGTCCATCGAGGTGCAGTCTGTTTTTTGTATATATATTTTTTTATGACAGCAGGGAGTCTATGTGGAAGCCTCGGGCTCTGCTGGGCACCTTGAAGGCTGCTTCAGGTGCGACCCTGCCCACTGCCGTCGCATGCAGGTAGGGATCCCTGCCGGGCTCTGTGCTGCTGTACGCCGCCTCAGACAGATATGGATGATGCACCGGATAGTTCAGAGCGTATGGCAACGTGTGGGCCCCAGAGGGCCAGTACATCTGTGGGGTGGGCTTCTGTGTGTCAGGGTGGTGCTCCTCTCTCCTTTTGAACGGCGTGCTGAGGATGCTGTCAATGGCGAAGGAGCTGGTGAACTTGGCCCCCACTCTCTCCTCCGCGGCCGGGAGCCGGGTGTCCTCGCTCAGCATGTCCGGGCTCTCCTGCTCCTTGGGGCCCCTCTTGGCGATGCGCTTCCTTCTGCGCCGGAAGACCCCATCAGCGAAGGTGTACTCGCTGTGCGGGTTCAGCATCCAGTAGTTGTCCTTCCCCCAGGGCCTGGACGGGTCCCGGAGCACTTTAAGGAAGCAGTCGTTGAGTGACAAGTTGTGACGCACGGAGTTCCTCCAGCCGGTGTAACTGCCTCGGAAAAACGGGAACTTCTTCATCAGGTAGTCGTTGATCTCTGCCAAAGTCAGACGGCCGCTGCTGGACTCCCGGATGGCCATTGCGATGAGGGCAATGTAGGAGTAGGGAGGCTTTGGTCTGCGGGTGTACGGCTTCCCTTTGCCGCTCTCGCTGCCTTGAGTGACAGGTGCCGGGCTGTTGGCCACGCAGTCTCCGTCTGAGCCGAGCTCATCCCCGGACAGAGGAGAGGGAATTCCCCCGTCTGGCTCCATGCAGAGCTCCAGTGGCTTCTGGGCAAAGTGGTGCGCGGAGAAAACTTCAAGTTTCATTTCCCTGAATCAAAAAAAGAAGAAAAATCAGAGTTTGTGCTTCAGCTAATCAGCAAAGCAGGTGGAGCTGCAGGCACCCTGAACCTCGGTGTGGAGCTGCAGAACACAGATATGTCTCCCGAGACACGCTAGTCTTGCTTTAATATAATGCCTCCGCAAGGGACAGCCCACGGGCGGAGTTTGCGCGTCAAAGCCATTGAAGCGGCTGAGTTATGTATGTAGATGTATGTGCGCAATTGGAGACTGGCATGCAACCTGAGGGAGGGAGAGAAACATAAAAGAGGGTGGATAAAAGAGGTGAGACAGGGAAGGTAAACAATTACAGTCAAAAGCATATCTAACTATCCATCTATCTATCTATCTGTCTGTCTGTCTGTTTTAAAGAGCCCTGACTAATCTGCAGAAAGCCACCAGACAGATTTTTAGTAGACAAACAAACAAGCATGCGTTTCTTGTTACTTGAACTCTTGTCATTCTTCACTGGAACAAGGAAGAAAGACAAGCACAGCACAAATATTAAAGAAAAATATTTGGATAACATCCACCTAACACACAATGACTATGTAAATTCACAGGTTACCTAACAAGGCGTAGAGAATGAGGAAAACATGCTTTAGAAGATTGTCAGAAAGGTCAGTATAAGTTCAAAGGAGAGGACCAATTAGACCTGCCTGCAGCATCTTCACAAAATGACAGCCAACAGTTTATTCTGGACTGTAACGATGAATGAAGGCAGAAATTAACCTCTTCTCAGTTTGATTAGTCTCTCTCATTGCTGTGGAGAAACTTGGACCTTCTCTAGCTTTTTTTTTTATAGAACCTTTCAAAAATCACAGTGTCTTTCAAACAGAGTGAAAAAACACAAGCCCCATTAAACATAAGTAGATTTTAAAACAAATACTTTTTAGATGGTTTTTAAAGGAAGACACCAAGTCCACTCATTGGACGGCTTTCATGGTACAATTAGTTTCAGACAGGTAACCTTGCATACAGAAAACGTTACCAAAAAGAACGTTTTTTTTTTTTTTTTTTTTGTATAGTGCATTCAATGGCTGCAGGGAAGCCGTGTAATGAAGCTGCAAAACAAGCCTACGCCATTACTCTTCCACAACCAGGCTCGAGAATTGGAATGAGTCGTTTGTGCTGATAAGCTGTGTTAAATTTTCTCCAAATATAGCACTTTGCATTACGACTTAACATCTCTACATCTCAACTGTTCTGGGAACATTGCTCCAGAGGTCTTGTAGTCCATTCAGGTGCATTTTTGTAAACTAAAGTTGAGCTGTCATATTTTTATTTTTCTTTTCATTAAGAGACTTCTGTCCTTCCAAACAGGACATTCTCATTCATTCTTTTTTTTAACTATCCTGTCATGAATTCTAACAGTTAAGATGCTGAGGCTGGTAGAATCTGAGATAGAGGCTCAAACAGCAGTCGATTTCTTTGAGCAGTCTTCGTGTCACCCCAAGTCGTGTTGGGATGTCCGTGCCTGGGAACACCTAGCTGCATTAAATGTTTTTAGTGTGAATAATCTTTTGCGCTGCAAAATAAAGGATTTCAAGTTGAGTAATTACAAGACGCAAGGCAATTGGTTATTTCTTTCCATCTTGCCAGTGGCGTCTCCTGTAGTCAAGAATTACTAATTAATCAAGTACAGTTGATCAGGAGTACCTTCCTGTCATGTTCTCTCCTAAATTTACGTTTTCTGTTTCATGCACAACTTCTCCATTTTGATAATTCTAGATTACTCTAGAATGAATTTGTAAGTTCTATTTCAATATTTCAATAAATTCAGAAGGTAGCAAAGGCCACATTATTTTTTAACTCAAATCTCAGATGTAAAGCTTAAGAAATGAAAGTAGATTTTATTTCTTTTGACTATAACTACAATTGATTAAACAACATTTCATAAGACTTAAAAAAAACACATCACATATTTTGTAGTAATTTAAGTGTACTCTAAATGCACAATGATTTGATCTAAACTGGAAAGAAGTTGCTGCACTTTTGGTGAAGATAAATTACTTTATTACTTTATGGGCAATATTTTGGATTTACTTATCAGCTGCACCTTGTTTCATTACAGTAATCAGAGGTTTAGACTTTCATCAAGTTTTCCTTTTGATAAGAGTCGGTCTTATTTAATTGAGTCCACAAAAATTCTGTGACGTAATCCATATTGACCAGTGAGGTCAACTCATTCCTATCGCTGTGGTACAGAGAATCTAAAACACTCTTCAGTGAAATACACAGACTGAATACTGAAGTGTTCACAGGGGCAGGTCTGCAGAGAGGTGTTGGGCCAAACACGAGCTATGGCCTTTCTGTTTGGACTTTGCATATTTGTCTCCAGCACACTTTTCTTCGGGTACTCTGGTTTGAACATTTCTATCATCCTGCCCCCTAGTGGTACCAACACCTAATGTCTTTAACGTCACCAATATCAGTGTTTCTTAATTCCGATCCTCAGACTGCAATGCATGTTTTAGGTGTTTCTCTTCAGTCAAGCACTTGAGTTTAATAACTGGGTGATTAACAAGGTTTTGCAGCACTCGAGGTCAAGCAGTCGCTTGAAACAGGAGTTCTGGAACAGAGACGCATCTGAAATGTAGAGTACACTGCCCTATGTGGATGAGACACCCAGAGCAAATCTGATGCATAAAATACATTTCCATGTTCCTTTGAGCTGTCAAAAACCATTTATTAAATCATTCAAAAACAATTACCAAAATAAACAAAAAAAAAAAAAAGAAAAGAAAAATGTATTGTGTTCCCCCGAAGCATGCAAATTTCACCCCTTTTACATACTGATGAAAGGACATTGTGTAGCCATATTTTACTTTCGTCCACTGAAATTTACAAGGGACCATAGCTGGAGTCGATATTACGTAACTCACACTGCTGACGCATGTAAACCAACCCTTAGTGGCACAAAATGACTTTCAAACTCCCCTGCCATCACCTCAGTCCGATGACGAAGCAGACAAAGGAGAGTTAACACGAGTTATGAGCTTCAGGGTAGTTAAACTGTCGTCTCAGCCGCTCCTTCTTCCTCAGTTTTTTTTATAGGGGGCCCTGAACACTAATATAAGCTTTAACTTTGTCCACTCCTTTACTGTCCTGCATTTCCACCTACATATTGCAAATGGAAAAAACAAACAAACAAACAAACAAACAAAACAAAAACAACAACAAAAAACCTTAAATATCATGCTTGAGTAAATTCCAAATAAGTCATGGTCAAAGTGAAGCATTTGAAGCCTTAATAAGAGCAGACAGATTAAGGCGTTCTGTTTAAATGTAGCACTCTACTGCTAATGAAAGACCTGATTACAGACAGTACTCTGAACTGTTTGATAATGGGTGTGAAAGCAAGCAGATTTTTCCGAAGGGAGCAAACTTGAAGTCCCTGTCTTTTTCTTCAGTTATGTTAAAAGAGCCTGAAGGGGCCTTTGTTTCTGTGCGTTCAATGTTCTCAGGTCACTTTGTAGCTGTTCAGCTCAAATATGGTGCAGTGCAATTGTTGTCTTTGCTTTATGGCTGCCTTTTAAATAGTTTTCCATAAAAGACCCAAACATAGGGCAGTGCTGTAGAGAACATATTAGAGGCGGCAAAATAAATACTGAATTAGAGTACCATTCTCTGGCACTGTGATGCTTTTGAGAATCAGATTGTTAAACTGTTTTGTGATTTTTCATTGATTTGGCTGATGAGAATAATAATAAATCCACAGATTCACAGACTGTTGACAACAGTTTGTAGTAGTCCAATTTAAAGTAGGCTCTTTACTAAATTCTTTATGAGTATACACAGCAGTAATTAATTTCTTAGTTTAGAGCCCTTTCTGTGTTTGATTCAGTTTTATACATATATAAATATATATATATATATATATATATATATATATATATATTAAAATGGTCAATTTTTCAGAAGGGAAAAAAAAACAGTTGAAGTCAAAAGAAAACCTCAAATGTTTTTGAGTGTCCTTATCACAACTTGTTTTGCAGAATGATGAATGGAAAAGAAATCAAAGGCAGTCAGATATCAAAGTTAAATCTCTTAACTCTCTGCTTTGTTTTTGTTTTTTTTCCCTTGGAGCAGCTGGGAGCTAAAAAACAAATGTTGTAGCAGAAACTCATGATGGCAACTGCTGCGAGGCTAAACCCAGAGCTGAGGAAACCATCATTATTGCCACGCTGTGGAGATGCAGAGAAAGATGCCACACTGATGGTGGGTGTTGCTGCATTGTTTTTTTTTTTAACATGTCTGCAAAATTGCAGTGAAGGTGGATTTAATTCCACTTTCTCTGCCAGAATGACTGCACACTCACACACATATGCTGGAAAGAGAGCACACCTGTTCTCAGTTTGAAATCAGAGGTGGAAAAGCAGCTTCCCAGCAGGTATCAGTGCACTGTCATTTTATCATTCCTACTTGGATTTTTTGGGGTTAAGATAGATCTAAATCCTTCACGTTTTTAAGAAGCAAAAATTAAGTTTCAACTTTAGATTTTGTTGATATGAAGTACTCCATGAATTTACATAACTGTAAATTCATTGAGCTCCTGAACTTGATCTAATTATCTAATCATTTGTAATCATCTGCCCGTCATGAGACAGGTTAGTTTTACCCTACTGATGATGTGTTGTTGCACAAATGATGCAACAACACAAATGATTATCAAAAACAAGATTTAGCGAACCAAGGTTGAATTTATTGTAAATCATCTTCAATTCACACATTCAGACTCAAATTTATGTTAAACCTTTCTTCCCGTTCAGCTGCCACAACAGCAAAATTGGCATGAACCTCAGTGTTTGCTGGGTTTTGTCCTCAAAATGATCCCAAACACAACAAAGTAAGTTTAGGGATGGACTTTATTAATGCAGGTGCATGTGTTTACATGTTTTGAGAGATAGTCCATGATCAATCCAAATTTGTGAATAGGATTTTTCTTTTTCTTTTTCTTTTTAGCAACTGATGGCGTTTACTGCGTGATCACACCAAACAATCAAAATTAGCCAAAGGCATTATTAAAAGTCCAAAATTATCACAGCACTCCTTTCCATGAGAACTGTATGTAAACTTTTTACCAGCACTTTGAATTGAAACTTAAAAAGACATAATTCTTA